TTTATCTATTTTTTAATCTCTCCTTAATATTTAGAAAACTTGAAGAGAACATACTTGTCAGAGTATTCTAGGCCAAAGTACAATCCAGAAGAAGGAATGCGTGTCCAACAACTCAGTTGGAGGCATTTTTTTCTAATATGGAAAAACTGTGTTGCAAAGCAACAATTTATTACACAACTTGGACATCATTTTTAACAGTTTCAGTCCAATGTAATAATGTTAAGGCTTGGAGAGGATAAAGTTTACTATTTATTCAGAGGGGTCTTGCAGTAAATGTAAATATAAAACAAATCATAATATTATCATATCTGTCACAGTATACTGTTAAAATATATATCCTTTCGGGTTAGGTTGATTGTCCAAGTTACTGACCATCATTTAATTTCTTTCATCTTTCATTATTTTTTCACCACACATAATACTTTCATCATTGCTGATCCTGGCAAAATGGAGAACGCATGTCACATATGAACGTAGTAAATGACCTAGCTCAACGGCAGTCTCCATTGAGCTCAGTGGTCAGCTCACCCGACTAGTATCCTGGAGTATCTTGATTTCAAATCCTGTAATGTTAAGACTCAGATTTTTTTCTTTGTCGCTTTCTCTTTCAATATTAGTTCTAAGAATTTGTCTGTGCCCTAAAATATCCCCAACCAAATTGACCATACTTTTTGCTGTTGTGTTTGGTAATGGCCTGCTTGACTGTGTATTGATAACTATTGTAAGGAGAAATTGGATTTTGATATGGTCTTCACTTGGAACTTTAGGCAGATTTGATTTTACTAGTTGACTGTATATCTTCTCTGCTTAAAACTGGAGAAATGTCTTACAAAATATTTTCCTAGTGGCTTAAAAAATATCCTGAATGCCAATTAATCCTCACTGTGCTTGAGGTAAGGGGCAATATAGGTGCTTTTGGACAGTAAAGTTTTAATGAGCCCCTTTACTTTGTGGGTGATGGAGTAATTGAAATCTCAGAGGTACCTTTAATTTTAGTTGAGGTTCAATGTAGTTGGGAGAGAAATGTATTGTTAAGTTTTTATACAGTTAAGGTATAATTTATTATATCAAGATAAGGTGTGGTTTGTTGAATGAAGAAGAAATAAAGGTTGACTCTTGAGATTGTGTCGTGATCATTGATCTCCCTAACCAATTTTTGGGAAATTGGAAAGACTCACTTTTGTGAATGCAAGCTTTTTGTTTTGTCACTCATAAGTGACAAGGTGAATATCTTCTTTTCTGCACTAGCCAGTGTAATTTATTGGTTTAATGAAGATTTTTTTGTTGACAAAATATTGTTGTACTCCATTTATCTCATCATTCATGGGCCAGCAAGATCTGGGTGTATCAATGGCATGGGGGTATTAATGGGTTTATTGATAGTGCCAGTAAAATAATGAGGTGATTGGAAGATTGGGTTTCACTGTATAACAGTGATAAAGGATGGTATATATTTGCATCCCAGTGAGGGACGTACATGTGAGAAGGTTGGGATGTTTGTTGGAAAATTTAATTTAAACTTCTAAAGGAGACTAAATTATCTGGCCATGGCTAGAGCTTTATTTGACCCTTAAATGATAGCACTCAAAAAGGAAATTAGCCTGTGTCCCAGCCGCCTCTCCCCGGAAAAAAAATCTCCGATTTTTTTTCCAGGGAGAGGAGGCTGAGACACAGGCTAAAAGGAAATGAGAGCCTTTTTATGTATTACTTCAAGTGCACTCTAATAGACACCTTCATGGTTAAAAATACGGTGGCGTTTCATCCTAGACTCCTTTAGTGAGTCCAAAATCTGATTTACACCCCTGGGCAAGATGATTAGCATCCCCAACCTTTTCTCATGGGGTTCCAACCCCCCGCCCCTCACCACACCTGGGATTTGCATGCAACTCATAGACTGGTGAATAATGACGGGTATCTTGAGTTTTAGTAGCTGATCAGAGCATCAGGAAAACATTGTAGAATGTCTTTTGAAACTATTTGTACCAAAACTATGGAAGGAGAGTGATCTTCACAGTTTATATAGATTTAAATTTTAATTTATAAACCAGCCTTTAAATAATAGGATAAAAACAAAAAATTATACCACGTAGAGAATATCGTGTTTATGCTAAAAGGGTTCTTCAAGGTTCTTGAATCTGTATATATGGACCACCCACAAAGTATGGGGGCTCAATGTATTGATCCTTTGTAGTTTAGTACTTTTTTTTTTTCATTTACTGTTTTACACTTTACATTATGTTGATCTAGTGGGAGATCTAGGGGATGGCGACTTTTCACTCTTAGATTTACGATCAACCAAATTCTGATACATTTGTCAATGGTCATACTCTAAGAATTTAGTCTACCATAAATACAATATCGCCTTGTTATATCAGGTTTATACCTGAAGATCAGAAAATTTGATAAATTTTCAGCTTAATTTACCAGCTCCGGGTACCAACAGTTTACACTCTTGCAACCAGGGTGGTATATTTATGAACGCAAGTGATGAGGGGAGCCATAACACCTCTTTCAAAAACTTTATTATCTCTATTTTGAAATCAAAATTAAAATTTCACGTGTAATGCTGATTGTTGAGAACAAAAGAAACCCTTTATCAAGCTTTGCCGCTTTTCAATGGCTTCCAACACTCTATTATCTTGCAAATACCAATGATAAGTCATTAGTTTGCGAGTGACCAATCAGAGAATAGATAAGTGTTTGGTGTTTCGAAGCGGAGTTCCGGATCGCGCAATGTTCAGTGTGAGTTGATAGAGGAGGAAGTTTATCTCGAGTGAGTGTACTGGAATTTTCGGGAGCTGAGTTAATATCCTCTGAAACGTAGCTAACTCAGTTTCAAAAGTTAGTTTACAACGATTACGATCGACGGAGGCACATAATTTGACGACAAAAAATCACGGACGAGGTGAGTTCAGCTTAGAAACCGTACGCAATGCAGTAAGCGGTCGGATTTATTTTTGGTGGTGTTTTTTAGCGGACAGTTTGCTCACAGACTCTGATATTAAAGATGAACTGACTCGGTGCACTGTAAACTAGTGTAATAAATTCTGGTTATCCGCCAGAATTATTCTAAGTTGGTGAGAATTTGATAATTTTCAGTTTTTCGTACGCACTCTGTGTCATATGCGTCACTCGCGATGCGATCAAATTTCGATTTGCGACACAACGTTTCCTTATTGTTCCAGATTATGTGGTCGTTTCCCGAAAATAGCTAAACGATCGTCTATGATATAGTTAGCTCAATACTTTCTTCTTTATCTGGACTGCTAAAACCCTGGATGTCGAGGAAAATTCATGTCACAGTGGTCTGTCTATATTTAACTGTCGGTTCGTGACAATTTTGACAACCAAGGTCACTCGTCCACGGAAATTTCGTGCGAAGCATTGTTACGAGCTTCTTCCGCAACGTTCTGTTTCGTTAGTATGACGTGAATTAAACGAGGAAAATCAGTGATGTATAGATCCCGAGGTTGTGTTCTCCGCTTGTAAGCATGACTTGCACATACCGTTCATCAGT